CTGCTAGATTGTTTATTTGACTTTTTGTCAACACCATTTTGTCAAAATATGGAAAGAAATTTTGCTGAGAGAACACCCAACTGCTAATGTGAATTTTTCGGTAAGATTGGGTATTCATTTTCAAATTGGTACATCTATCCTGAATACTTATCATAGTGCCAACAATATGTTAAAGGAAAATCATATAGACCTAGGCCTATGTTTGAAATATACCCTACACAGGCAAAGGTTTTCAAAATTTAAATAACATTTCAATTTAGGAGCCTAGACACCGTTTTATTATATTGTACTGATATTTTGTAATACTTATGTTGTCTAGATTCATGTGGGCTTGTGGTGCTTTTAAATCAGACCATTTGCTTCAATATCCAAGGCTACTAATTCTAACTCTAGATCATTTCTGTGTACAGTATTTAGTGATGCAAGCATTTAATAAGTCGGTAGAAACTTTACCATCCTAATCCAACCTAATTTCAAAATACCGTACTTAATACAGTCACGAATCCGCAGAAAACTCAACCTACCTTCCTCGGATGCCTAATAATAAGAACTGATTACTTACTCTGCAAATGATTTGTTCCAAATAAAATAGATTCCATTGTGCTTGGAGTCTTGTGTATAACTTAGTAGGTTTGTTTGTTTCGCTTCGCATGTAAACAGCTGTTTGCTCTCCACACAGGACTCATACGAATTGCCCATTAACTTATACCATCCAAACTGCTCTATGAGTCTATGAACCTTAAATTTGTGATCTTTGATTTTTTTTTTAACTCAGTAGTAGGCCTACTCCTTCTGGATAAAATTGATTGTATTTTCGGATTCAGCATAATAACTTAAATAAGCAATTAGACACATAAGATTTACAATTTTGAATTGATGAAAGTATATTCAACATTTTCCGTATCGTCACCAACATTAACTTAATAACTTTAATTACTTAATTGATTCCTTAAAATTGATCTCGAGGTTGATCCCTTCGCCCACTGAAATTTAATCACAGGAAAAGCATCACACTTGGCAATAGCATAGATTTCTCATAATAAGTTATCAGTATTGTCTATTAAAACAAGACTAATAAAATTGACTAAGAACAATAATACAGAACCAATGGGCAGTTTTTGGTTTGTGTACATTGGGCTGGCACTTGGCTAGAACAGTTGGATAAAATGTAAATGCACAACTGTGTCAGTTTGAACTAGCTCTCTAGGACGCAACTGTATCTCTGTCGATGCAGTGTGAGTAACCGTACAGTTAAAATCCTTGTATCCACTGGGTGTAGGATCACACTGAGGTCAAAATTAAAATTAGGTAAGTTACGTAAAATCAGATGAGCAATAAACAAGGGATGGTTGATAGAAAAGACAAGTTTTTGTTCTGAGACAAGCCAACTCATTCTCAAGGAGTAGCCTAAAAAATACAATTTATTTAATGCCAAAATACAATTTCAAGATAATTTTTACTCACACGTAGAATAGCCTAAAAAATGTCACCTATTTCAAGACTTGCACTTTTTGAAGGAGAGTGGGAACCCAACCGACAGCCATTAACTGTCAGTTGTTAATTACTGAGGGTTTTGCTGAACATCAGATGTGATATAACCCTTTGAGTGCCAACGTCCGGGGAACAGGACGTTTTTAAAACGAGCCAAAAGTGCCGACGTCCGGCTGACCGGACGTTTCGTAATGATCGAACAGTTGTCATAACAACCGGATGGATACTCGGATTCTTTTAACCCATATATTAACATTGAGTCGAAAGTTACTAGATGCGATACATCGATTTTCGTTGGTCGAAATATCGAAAATTCGATTTTTACAAAATTTTAACCTAAAAATCGCCAGATTGCGCTCGGCATTTTTAGCGCGATCTTCGGGAAAAATCATCGGCATTTTTTGAGCGTTACTTTTATTTCTCGCCTGGCACTCTAAGGGTTAAATCATTTTATCTAGGCCCTACTAACTGCTACTGTAATGCTAGAATAGAACTTTTACAAATGTTTATGATCTTTTATTCTTTTGGGATTGATAAATCAACTCTATACTGGCCTAGTTTTTCTTAATAAATGACCTTTTTGCTCATTCATCAATTCATTGTCAATACCTTAATGTTTTTTAGGCTAAAAGATTGAGCCTTAATTATTGTGCTTTACGATACATGCTTTATTGAATTTTGTATAAACTTTCAAAACTGATTAGTATAGCCTAAATTAGATAGGCGTATCCCTTTGTTCAACAGAAATCAATAATATTACAGCTCATGACATCTAAGCTGGCACTTGGGCTAGCATGGACAGTGTAGGCGGGAGGAGGGTGGAGGTAGGGAAAAGACCGTACTGCAAACATTTCCGCTGCCTCACGGGGTTGACTCCCCTTGAATTATGTACTTGGGTGCCTTCATATCGGTTGCGAGGACAGTTGATGCAAACCGCATGACGGGACATAATGTTTTTTGAATTAGGTACTAGTAGTGATCGGCCAAGTGCCAGCTTAGATGTCACGAGGTGTACATCTTTGTTGCAACAAAAATGTTCTAACAACTATACATCACAAGCTAAACCAATAAATGAAGACAAAAAGTATTGGTAATTAATAACTTAGGCCTGTAGACAGCTGAATTGAACATTAGTTTTCTGTATTTAATGTTTGGTTCAATACTACACTCATCTTCATTCATACTTGGCTTTAAAATACCTCTGCATGGTCACCATTTCATTGAACAGTATTAACAGTACAGTATTAAAACATTGAGAATAGTGAATCGTCAAGAGCAAGTGTTAATTGTATATTTCTCAACTAAGTACTATATCAGAAAGTCATATGAAGGTTTCCTTTGTACCTAAATACCATTGACTATTGGATAGCAGTTTCCCAGTTTATGTACTGTGTTTTTTTACAACCAATCTCAGTTTGTTATTGAGTCTACTTCAGTGGCGTTGCTTGGTTAAATTCTAGGGGGGGGAGAAGCCTCAAATTTCCCAACTGCTTAACATAGATTTCCCAACTATTTTTTATAAAAAAAAATCAATTTCTGTACTATTTTTAAAAATCTACAAATTATTATACTACACTGCAGTCACACTCAATTCAGTATTTATTAACTTGCATTAACAAAACATAGCTAGTTTTACATGTATACAAAATTACTCAATTCAAAAAACGTCTAAAACTTCTACCAATTCATAATGAAGTTTTATGACTTCAAAAACTTGAATAAGTATTGTTTCAAATCCAAAAAACTTTACAAACCATTGTGGTAGCAGTGTAAAATTTTAGGGATATAAAATAAGCCTAGTACAAATTAGTATAGAAAAACAATATTTTATTACAAAATAATGAAATTACAATACTTTTAGAAGTTGATATTAAGATCAACACTTTAACTTTCATAAAACTTACAACTAGGCCTAAACAAGTTTGTAATGATGAAATATTATTATCAGTGTTGTGAATAATATTATTCTAGTCTAGAAAAGAATAAACCTAAAATAAGACTTGTATAAAATAAAAACGTTCAACTTGGTTGATAATAAACTTATACATACAATAAAAATGTTAACCTTCATCTTCATCAAACTAGAACTTGGACAAAAATCAAACTCAAACGTGAAAGTCAAACATCAAATTTTAGGTTATGTTTTGTCTATTGTCTATGTAGATCTGTTTCAGAGTGATTAGTTGATTCATTTTTGTAAATACTTAATTAGGAATGATAAATCACTTTTGTAGATTTTTTAGATAATATTCAGAGAATAAATATTTCATTTAGGTTATTAAAAATTAAAGTTTTAAAGGCAATACCGATATACAAAACCTATCTTTAATGTTATTTTAATCTACCTATTAGCAAGTACTCCTGTCAGTAAGCCTGCTCCAAATACTACAAAAAAAGGTATAAAATATAGTTTATTTGACTGACATGAAAAATATTTTTGAACTTCTTGTAAACACTAACAAACAACATAATTGAACTGAAGAGCTACGCCGCTTGCACTTTCAAAATTCAAACTCGCAGTCTCGCAGACGAACCATTCAGAAAATCATCAACACAGGACAGGATCAAGGTAGCCAACATACGTCCAATAAGGAACAAAATTTCTCGTAAACGAAATTCCAACAAACTATACCGCTAATTGGTTAACGATTTCTTAAAATGAGGCGTGTTTAGCCATGGTCTAGCCTAGTTTAATCAAAGTTAAATTAAATCAAAGAAACATCAAGTTTATTCGTCCAAGTCAAAGAAATTTTGATCTTTGATGGATTTTCGCAAATATTTTTAAATTTTATTTAGTTTAAAAATATATTTTTCTTGTATCTGATTTCCCAACTGTCCCAACTCGTGGCAAGGAAATTCCCAACTTTTCTCTTTCCAGGATTCTAGGGGGGGAGGCTCCCCCCCCTACCCCCCCCAAGACGACGCCCCTGGTCTACTTATCATATTATTTGTTATTGATTCATCATTTATTTTGTAGGTGTAATGGTAAAAATACCGTAATTTTCCACTTTTTGTAGGTTTTCTGTAAAGTTTCATTGTGTGCAAAAATATTTTCAAAAGTTTACAAAACTACTTCTTGGTTTCATAATGGTGCAAGTTCATCGAGTAAAAAGCGTTTTGACAACTCATATTCAAGTCTTATTTAATTTTACCGAATCAAGTTGACAAATCATTCATAAATATTTAATAAACTAGGACATAGATATTGTTGTAAGTTTTTGTCAAACATAATTAAGTCTCTTCATAACTATTAAATTTAAAAAGTATGCTTTAAAATATTTTTACAAAGAAATTAAACTACTCACATTTGTAGTAAGATGAACTACTGATGAGTCAGGTGTTCTTAGGTCATTGAGGAAGCCAAAAATAAGTCTTACGGCTGGTATGAAGCCATACAAGCACAGAGTTTACATAACCGGATTGTGATGTGAGCTCTACATTGCATTGGAAAGTGACATAAACTCGACAACAGTGTCGTTACAGTAGTGTTACAGCAACTATAGACAAGGCAAGATGGGTAATAATGTAGGTGGTGGGGGGACTGTGTGTTTACGACCTCCAAGTGTTCTGATGTCCTGTACTCATGGTGAGAGTGATTACGATTCATTGTTTGTGATATTAAACAACAGAGATTTTTAAAAAATATCAAAATAAAAAAAGTTAAAATTATCCAACTAGGCCTAGCCTACAGCGTCTTTAATCTTACGTGAAGTAAAATTGTCAGACCTATAAGATAAAATTTTGACAGCACTTTGTGAGCAGCTTATATTCGATTTGAACAAAAAGATTCTACAGCTAGTCTAGATAGATAGGTGTAATGTTTAATAGGAGCAAGCTGGTCTAATGGGGAGCACAGAGCTTGGGTTGCTATAACTAGGCTGAAGTAATGTGTAATAATAGAGCCTAGAACCTAGGATGTGAAGGCGGATGGTGATAGCCCTATGTTGTAATGTTGCTAGATGCAAGGATGGGAGGAACCGTCAGCCACTTCTTCCAGTCTGGGAGTGCGCTGCTGACTGCCGGAAACCACCGAGGTTGTTCAGACGCAACTAGGACACGAGTACGCACAGTGTTTGACGCTTTGCGCGCCAATCCACGCGTAACCACTCAGCGACTGGACGGTTTACTTTCTCAGATACCTAAGGTTAGAAATGCAGCTTTTTGATTTGAAATTAAATTCTTGACCAGTGAAAAGTTGAATTCATTGGCTGTTTAGATTTTGGCCGCAATGTTAGAGCATGACAAAAACACTAACTAACCTGGCCAAATTTATGATAACAATGTTGTGAAAAGGTATAGCTTAAGCGTATACCTTCGAAACAGAAGTAGACTACCAACAATTTCATAAACACATCTTGAGATGTATTGAACACACATAACAGTGTAATTGGCAAAATTGTAGTGAGAATAAATCTTTTTAAACAGTCATATTGTGTGGTAGACAGATGCTTGTCCTTCAGAAAAATTCTGCTTTAGGCTACTTTGCATAACTGTGTCTTTACTCTAAGTTTTAAATTGAATAAGTTGTATAATTTATTTCTAAGTACCGGGACCTACTTATAATTCCTACCAAACATAATTGCAAGTCAGGAGAGCTCATATACTTAAATGCATTATAACTAAAAAAAATAAAAACTTAAAACTTCTAAAAATAAAGGAACAATACAATTTCTAGCGGTTAGTCATAGCTAAACTTTTCCAAGCAGATACAGTCTGGGCCACAAGTGAGAGGCAGGTTATATCTGCCAGCCGCTAAATTTAGTGGCATGGGAATGTCAAACCATCCTCTAGCATGGTGAAAAATATGTATGTAGTCTTTAGTCTAGGACAGTGTCAAAATTGACCAAACACTTTCATTCAACAGTGTTTCGATCCATGGCAACTGTGTAAAAGTCAAGTTGCCCTGAATATGGCTCACCAAGTTGAGGCCAACACATTTATGAAAGTGCTTTGTCAATGTTCACACGGTTGTTGTATGAAAACCGCAAATATACATTAGCGACCTAAAAAAAAACTAGCCTAATCCAGGAAGAATTTATAACAAATGTGCTTCTAGCTATGACCGTGAACTGCTGGGAATGTGAGGACTTGGAAACATAATTACTTTAGCTCTTGGAAAAGTGAAGCGTTTCTGTTACTCGGAATACAAGCACTAGGATTAACATAATCTCCTGAAATAGTTGTATCCGTGTATATACTATGCGTTGGTTGCAGAGCGAGAACATTCTTGTGGTACACAATGAGGAGGGCTACAACTTGCTGCAGAAGGTGGTTGCCATCAACAACCTGGACATGCTGCGATGGATCCTTTCCCGCAACCCTGACCTTAACAGAGGAGCTTGCTCATTCCCTCTGCACATTGCATGTCTCCGTGGGTAAGTGGAGGTTAATGCACTTACTGTACACAACACGTACTGTATACACATATTAACCTTCCAAGACGATTTACTGTTCAATTTAATTTACACATTTAATTGTTCAATTACAGTCTTATTTGATTGATTGTGACAAGTTCAATTTGCTTTTTGCGAATTTCCCATATAGGTAATAAGCTATTACCGTAGGACTCATGGTAAGACCTGGACCTGGGACCGATTGATTAATATGGCCATCTGTGACATGATCAAAGCAAGAGCTCAAGTTTCCTTACTTATATGACACGGGTTTACCCTGAAGAACCCATACATGTAATTAGGTGATAGATTTACCACATTTCACAAAACCTTTATTTAAAGATAGACAAGAAATTGAGCTTGTAGTATTCCATTTTGCTAATATATAATAACAATTGAAATGAAATAGATTTCATTTGTTTAATTGTTAATTTGTTTTTCATAGCCACGAAGACTGCGTAGAGCTTCTGCTCAAGCATGGAGCCCGTGTGGATGTTGAGGCTCGTATGTGTTGGCCGGGACCTCACAACCAGAACTGCGAAGAGAGGGGCAAACATTGTAAGCATAATTCATCGAATAAACTTTGTGTAACCCTCATTAATACAGACTTTGCTTAAGTCAGACATACAGCTAAGTCACCGAACCTGATGGTTGGAAATTTGAAGCATTTATGTTCACTTTGAGCTTCCTTTACCCTCCATCGCTATATAGATTAATGAGAGTCTTCACGGTCCTACGATATCACCTTCTTTTAATGTATTAGGATTATCCTCTTTCTTCTATGGATTACTAGGATTTACTGTTTTCTCTTTGCTATCATATCTTGTACTAATCTACTAAACAGCTCATCTACTGATGTTTTTTTTTTTTGTCCTAATAGGCTAGGCACGAGCCCGGGATTGTTTTTTACATTATTTCAGACTAGACTTAAGGTTTGCGGCATCATCACTTAGATAAAATCCATTGGTGATTTGGCGTAATTTTAACCCGGGACCTCAGTGACCAAAGACTCACACTCTAACCACTAGACCAGCTCCCCCATCTGCAGATATTGGCTTTGCTTGTTTGCTAACGCTTGTTCAACTAATTGCAGGTATAGACGATGACTCTACTGCGGACAGATCGAGTGACAAGCTGCAGAGTGCTATCTGCTATGCCATTGATGGAGACCAGGTAGATACTAGCTACAACCTACACAATCAATAGCAATTTGTTATTTATTCTATGTGTGTAAAACAAATCATTGTAAAACCAACGTAAAATAGTGGCTTACGATAATGAACAACACTAATAAAACATAGTGGCAGCGGTTGAGAAGATAGGATTGTTAATCACAAGTAGATTCCTGCATAGGTTGAAAATATCTTGAAAATATAGGTGTGACATTTATCACTCTTGAGTCACTCTGTGAACTATGAAGATCCTCCTAAAATAAACGCTGGATTTAGATGGAAGTTGACAGAATCCGGATTCCTTAAAAGGTAAAGGTGCTTTGAATACTTGTTGTGAGAGGTGCTTGTTTTGCTGCTTTTCTCTTATCCTTAATGTTATGTGTACTCACCATAAACTAGTTTTTTTTGGTTTTTATTTCGACATAAGGTGGAAAAAAATAAAGTAAATGAAATCAATTAATAATTCCTTTAGCTCCGAGTTTAATGTAGATAATCTTTTACCCCACCTAGAAGTACAATGAAAAACTATTTTGTTTTGTTTAGGTGGATATACTGGAGCTGTTAATGCAACAGACAGAAGACCACTGGCTTCCATGGCATCAGGTAACTGTCATCAGCCTCTGATTCGTGATTTTATTTTTTAGCAGTGTTTAATATTTAGTACCTGGGAAAAATCATTAATTAGTACACTCTGAGAGCAGTCTTTGGTCAATATCGTTTATCCAAATCTTCTTTTGTTGTCTACTCGTAATCTGATTTAATAATATGTTAGTTGACTTTGTATACTTAAGCAGCAGTTATGATTGTGTACTGTACAATTTTTTGTTATTTTTCTTACCAACACGGGTACGATTATCAAGGTTCTACTGTATTTAATGTAAAGTTATTATTTCTCAAAGAATTTTAAGTTTCTATTTGCCAAAGAAGCGGCCGCTACTGCACATTGCTTGTGAGAGAGGCGCCTGGAACTGTGTCAAGTACCTCGTGTCAGAGAGGTCTGATGAGATCAACCAGTGTTACGACGAGTACTACCCCATCCACCAGGCGGCGCTGCAACCCGCAAAGTTCCTTGAGTTGCTTATATCGTAAGTACTAGTTGATCCAATGTGTTTTGGTATTTCACAGCATTTTGCAGCAAGATAGACCATGTGTTAAAGACTGTGATCACCAATTTATATGAAACATTCTACAAACACAATATCTGATTGGATGGTTTAAAAGTATTGTATAATTTTCATGATGTACTGTCTCATAGTGTAATATAATTCCATCAGATTATTATTTATTTACCTCCTTCATCAGCAGCTGGTATCACTTCGTATCATTACTTTTGGATACTGAAGTAGACATTCAATATATACTGTTTAAAGCCAGCTGAAGTAAATTCTTTATTAAAAATGATCATAGTTGAATTGTTGAATGAATCAATCTAATATATAAAATTCTCGTGTCACAGTGTTTGTCTGCAAACTCCTCCGGAACGACTTCACCGATCGTTATGAAATTTGGTGTGTAAATTCTGTAGGTATGCAAATCGGACGTAAACTATTTCCCGTTTCGAAATTCTTAAAAGGGCTCCGCCCCAGTGGCTCTGGAGTTTCCCATGTTAACCTTATGAGAAATGGAATTAATGAATCTTAACAGCTGTTTCAATTAAACAAGTTGGTTCTGTTCCATGATGTTCAATAGCATTAAAGTTACAAGGATTACCAACAGGGTGCAGCACTATTATTTCTTTTACATTTATGACAACAGCTAATTTGCAACCAAAAGGTGAGTGAGCGTAGCGAACGAACTTCAACCTGGAGGCGAGTGAGCGTAGCGAACGAGCTAACCTGAAGGCAAGTGAGCGCAGCGAACGAGCTCCAACCTAAAGGTGAGTGAGCGTAGCGAACGAGCTCCAACCCAAAGGTGAGTGAGTGTAGCGAACGAACTTCAACCAGGACGTGATTGAGTGATGCGAACGAGATCATCTTGAAAATTAAACGTAACAGTACTTTCTTTCCATCGGTCTGTCTTAGGGGAAACCTATAACTTAGGCGATACGAAGTTCGCCGGGTCAGCTAGTTACTGTATAAAATTGTATTTTCTACTTTGTTTATGTAAATAAAAGATGATATAAGTGGTTTTATCACTTTGACTTGGCTAAAAGCAGCCAACGCATTCTGTTGGCAAAATTTAACTGCGTTCATTTTGTTTCTACAAACTGTGATACCTTTAACATGGGAATTGAATGTCTAGTTGTATCAATAGTGACTAGGATTGTAGATGATTAAAGCTGTAGATTCACCAGAAGTATTCGTTGTAGGAGTGGGGCGGACATCAACGTGTGTACACAGACTGAGCAGCTAACCTTGCTTCATCTTGTGTTCCTCCTGGGACGCAAGAGTACAGAGGACACTCTCAACACATGCAAGTTGCTGCTGGACTCTGGACTGCGGGAGTTGATCAACCGTCCTGACTCCCTCGGCAACACTCCTCTACACGGTCTCATTGTCAGGTAGGCTTCCACAATCTTTGTATACAACCGTGTCACTGTATGACCAGGACACTCTAAACATATGCAAGTTGCTGCTGGACTCTGGGTTGCAGGAGTTGATCAACCGTCCTGACTCCCTTGGCAACACTCCTCTACACGGTCTCATTGTTAGGTAGGCTTCCACAATCATTGTATACAACCGTGTCCATGTATGACCAAGACACTCTAAACACATGCAAGTTGCTGCTGGACTCTGGACTGCGGGAGTTGATCAACCGTCCTGACTCCCTCAGCAACACTCCTCTACACGGTCTCATTGTTAGGTAGGCTTCCACAATCATTGTATACAACCGTGTCCATGTATGACCAAGACACTCTAAACACATGCAAGTTGCTGCTGGACTCTGGACTGCGGGAGTTGATCAACCGTCCTGACTCCCTTGGCAACACTCCTCTACACGGTCTCATTGTCAGGTAGGTTTTCACAATCATTGTATACAACCGTGTCACTGTATGACCAGGACACTTTCAACACATGTAAGTTGCTGCTGGACTCTGGGTTGCGGGAGTTGATCAACCGTCCTGACTCCCTTGGCAACACTCCTCTACACGGTCTCATTGTTAGGTAGGCTTCCACAATCATTGTATACAACCGTGTCCATGTATGACCAAGACACTCTAAACACATGCAAGTTGCTGCTGGACTCTGGACTGCGGGAGTTGATCAACCGTCCTGACTCCCTCAGCAACACTCCTCTACACGGTCTCATTGTTAGGTAGGCTTCCACAATCTTTGTATACAACCGTGTCACTGTATGACCAGGACACTCTAAACATATGCAAGTTGCTGCTGGACTCTGGGTTGCAGGAGTTGATCAACCGTCCTGACTCCCTTGGCAACACTCCTCTACACGGTCTCATTGTTAGGTAGGCTTCCACAATCATTGTATACAACCGTGTCCATGTATGACCAAGACACTCTAAACACATGCAAGTTGCTGCTGGACTCTGGACTGCGGGAGTTGATCAACCGTCCTGACTCCCTCAGCAACACTCCTCTACACGGTCTCATTGTTAGGTAGGCTTCCACAATCATTGTATACAACCGTGTCCATGTATGACCAAGACACTCTAAACACATGCAAATTGCTGCTGGACTCTGGACTGCGGGAGTTGATCAACCGTCCTGACTCCCTTGGCAACACTCCTCTACACGGTCTCATTGTCAGGTAGGTTTTCACAATCATTGTATACAACCGTGTCACTGTATGACCAGGACACTTTCAACACATGTAAGTTGCTGCTGGACTCTGGACTGCGGGAGTTGATCAACCGTCCTGACTCCCTTGGCAACACTCCTCTACACGGTCTCATTGTTAGGTAGGCTTCCACAATCATTGTATACAACCGTGTCCATGTATGACCAAGACACTCTAAACACATGCAAGTTGCTGCTGGACTCTGGACTGCGGGAGTTGATCAACCGTCCTGACTCCCTCAGCAACACTCCTCTACACGGTCTCATTGTTAGGTAGGCTTCCACAATCATTGTATACAACCGTGTCCATGTATGACCAAGACACTCTAAACACATGCAAGTTGCTGCTGGACTCTGGACTGCGGGAGTTGATCAACCGTCCTGACTCCCTTGGCAACACTCCTCTACACGGTCTCATTGTCAGGTAGGTTTTCACAATCATTGTATACAACCGTGTCACTGTATGACCAGGACACTTTCAACACATGTAAGTTGCTGCTGGACTCTGGGTTGCGGGAGTTGATCAACCGTCCTGACTCCCTTGGCAACACTCCTCTACACGGTTTCATTGTCAGGTAGGCTTCCACAATCATTGTATACAACCGTGTCACTGTATGACCAGGACACTCTAAACATATGCAAGTTGCTGCTGGACTCTGGGTTGCGGAAGTTGATCAACCGTCCTGACTCCCTCGGCAACACTCCTCTACACGGTCTCATTGTCAGGTAAGCTTCCACAATCTTTGTATACAACCGTGTCACTGTATGACCAGGACATTCTAAACATATGCAAGTTGCTGCTGGACTCTGGGTTGCGGAAGTTGATCAACCGACCTGACTCCCTCGGCAACACTCCTCTACACGGTCTCATTGTCAGGTAGGCTTCCACAATCTTTGTATACAACCGTGTCACTGTATGATCAGGACACTCAACACATGCAAGTTGCTGCTGGACTCTGGACTGCGGGAGTTGATCAACCGTCCTGACTCCCTCGGCAACACTCCTCTACATGGTCTCATTGTCAGGTAGGCTTCCACAATCTTTGTATACAACCGTATCACTGTATGACCAGGACACTCTCAACACATGCAAGTTGCTGCTGGACTCTGGACTGCGGGAGTTGATCAACCGTCCTGACTCCCTCAGCAACACTCCTCTACACGGTCTCATTGTCAGGTAGGCTTCCACAATCTTTGTATACAACCGTGTCACTGTATGACCAGGACACTCTCAACACATGCAAGTTGCTGCTGGACTCCGGGCTGCGGGAGTTGATCAACCGTACTGACTCCCTCGGCAACACTCCTCTACACGGTCTTATTGTCAGGTAGGCTTCCACAATCTTTGTATACAACCGTGTCACTGTATGACCAGGACACTCTCAACACATGCAAGTTGCTGCTGGACTCTGGACTGCGGGAGTTGATCAACCGTCCTGACTCCCTCAGCAACACTCCTCTACACGGTCTCATTGTCAGGTAGGCTTCCACAATCTTTGTATACAACCGTGTCACTGTATGACCAGGACACTCTCAACACATGCAAGTTGCTGCTAGACTCTGGACTGCGGGAGTTGATCAACCGTCCTGACTCCCTCGGCAATACTCCTCTACAAGGTCTCATTGTCAGGTAGGCTTCCACAATCTTTGTATACAACCGTGTCACTGTATGACCAGGACACTCAACACATGCAAGTTGCTGCTGGACTCTGGACTGCGGGAGTTGATCAACCGTCCTGACTCCCTCAGCAACACTCCTCTACACGGTCTCATTGTCAGGTAGGCTTCCACAATCTTTGTATACAACCGTGTCACTGTATGACCAGGACACTCTCAACACATGCAAGTTGCTGCTAGACTCTGGACTGCGGGAGTTGATTAACCGTCCTGACTCCCTCGGCAATACTCCTCTACAAGGTCTCATTGTCAGGTAGGCTTCCACAATCTTTGTATACAACCGTGTCACTGTATGACCAGGACACTCAACACATGCAAGTTGCTGCTGGACTCTGGACTGCGGGAGTTGATCAACCGTCCTGACTCCCTCAGCAACACTCCTCTACACGGTCTCATTGTCAGGTAGGCTTCCACAATCTTTGTATACAACCGTGTCACTGTATGACCAGGACACTCAACACATGCAAGTTGCTGCTGGACTCTGGACTGCGGGAGTTGATCAACCGTCCTGACTCCCTCAGCAACACTCCTCTACACGGTCTCATTGTCAGGTAGGCTTCCACAATCTTTGTATACAACTGTGTCACTGTATGACCAGGACACTCTCAACACATGCAAGTTGCTGCTGGACTCCGGGCTGCGGGAGTTGATCAACCGTACTGACTCCCTCGGCAACACTCCTCTACACGGTCTCATTGTCAGGTAGGCTTCCACAATCTTTGTATACAACCGTGTCACTGTATGACCAGGACACTCTCAACACATGCAAGTTGCTGCTGGACTCTGGACTGCGAGAGTTGATCAACCGTCCTGACTCCCTCAGCAACACTCCTCTACGCGGTCTCATTGTCAGGTAGGCTTCCACAATCTTTGTATACAACCGTGTCACTGTATGACCAGGACACTCTCAACACATGCAAGTTGCTGCTAGACTCTGGACTGCGGGAGTTGATCAACCGTCCTGACTCCCTCGGCAATACTCCTCTACAAGGTCTCATTGTCAGGTAGGCTTCCACAATCTTTGTATACAACCGTGTCACTGTATGACCAGGACACTCAACACATGCAAGTTGCTGCTGGACTCTGGACTGCGGGAGTTGATCAACCGTCCTGACTCCCTCAGCAACACTCCTCTACACGGTCTCATTGTCAGGTAGGCTTCCACAATCTTTGTATACAACCGTGTCACTGTATGACCAGGACACTCTCAACACATGCAAGTTGCTGCTAGACTCTGGACTGCGGGAGTTGATTAACCGTCCTGACTCCCTCGGCAATACTCCTCTACAAGGTCTCATTGTCAGGTAGGCTTCCACAATCTTTGTATACAACCGTGTCACTGTATGACCAGGACACTCAACACATGCAAGTTGCTGCTGGACTCTGGACTGCGGGAGTTGATCAACCGTCCTGACTCCCTCGGCAACACTCCTCTACACGGTCTCATTGTCAGGTAGGCTTCCACAATCTTTGTATACAACCGTGTCACTGTATGACCAGGACACTCAACACATGCAAGTTGCTGCTAGACTCTGGGCTGCGGGAGTTGATCAACCGTCCTGACTCCCTCGGCAACACTCCTCTACACGGTCTCATTGTCAGGTAGGCTTCCACAATCTTTGTATACAACCGTGTCACTGTATGACCAGGACACTCAACACATGCAAGTTGCTGCTGGACTCTGGACTGCGGGAGTTGATCAACCGTCCTGACTCCCTCGGCAACACTCCTCTACAAGGTCTCATTGTCAGGTAGGCTTCCACAATCTTTGTATACAACCGTGTCACTGTATGACCAGGACACTCAACACATGCAAGTTGCTGCTGGACTCTGGACTGCGGGAGTTGATCAACCGTCCTGACTTCCATTGTGTAAAATTGTGCTGAGCTAGAGTCCAACATTCTTGGATGTAAAGGCATGAAAAATATAATCATTTTCAAATTTATTTTATGGTAAATATCTAGGCGAGCTTTACCTTGAGATATTATTTTTCCATTAGCAATATAATCTGTTAAAATCTTTTTTCAGTGAATGATTTTTGCTTTTGACTGTTTTTTAGGTACGCTCTGGAAGAAGCTAGATATCCTTATGACTCAGATATCCAGCCTTGGAACAAATGGGATGTCTTGCACATAGTAAGTATTGAGCAATACAATATAAACCATTTTAATTACTGCTTCATAGTTATCTAAAAGTTTAATATTTAATTTTCTTATTCTAATACAGCTGAAACTGTTTGGACATTTTAGTAGGTACTATATTATTTCCTTTGTAAATTATTGTTGGCTCTTGATAGCCCGACACCTCCAGAGGAGGGTATCGGGTAACCTAAGACGTCAGAGTATTTAAAAGTAATACTCAAATCAACCTGTCGAGGAAAGTAAACTTACTATGTACTCTTTGACTATTCTTGAGCCAAAATATTAATTTAAGCATAATTTTTCACCTGTGACCTTGTGTGTGTGTGTGTTGTTTCCTGTGACCTTTTTATTGTGATCACCTTAACCACTCGGCTAACATTTCATTTAGACATCACACCCCAGCCATTAGGTACACTTCCAACCGGTCTCTGATGAGAGCTGAGCACTTAAACTATATTCAACATATAAACTCACTTGCATTATTTATTTTTCAGGCTCGCTATTTGCTTCGCAATGGTGCATCCCCCTCCATCAACCAGCACGGCAACAGTGCGCTGGCCTGTGTGTTGCGACACGTGCGGGACTGGGAGTTCCGCTACGAGATGCTCAACATGTTGCTGCAGGCCGGAGGTGACCCCAACATCGTAGGGAGGGATGGCTCTGTTCCACTGATGGTGTGCCTGGTCCCTCTCATCAACAAAGACCCCCTGCACCACTTCACGCACACTATGAAGGTAAACAGACAACACACTTAAAATGTTTTCATTTACTCAAAATCATTTTTTAAATAAGTTAAATGAAGTTCACATGAGCATATGAGTTGGCACATTGGGCCTTTTCCGTTAATTTACTACTACTAGTGGAATGTGGGGAGGTTAGGTTAGGTTTTTGTTTTTCTTACTCTAAACTAACCTAACCTGACCTAACCAAAGTGTAATTCACTACCACTTCTATTGCTAAAAATCTATTGCTCTAAAAACTATTGGTAGTGAATTCATGGAAAAGGTCCGGCACATTAGTTAAATATTAAATATGACTTGGGAAGACAGTCTTTCCAACACCTTCCTGTTTGTTATGCCTCATGTAAAAATATTGTAAACATTGTTTGCAAAACTTCTCTCGCACTATTGTAAAAACCTTTTATAACACCGTGTTGATAGCAAATTTTGGATTTAATAAAATTAAGATGAATAATGCAATTAACCCTCGAGCTGGTGGTCTTTTTATGCTGTGGTGGCAAGGGATTTTTTATGTGTCACTCACTCACTCCCATGGCCATATATGCCCAAGGCAGGATTTGGCTGCACCAACAACTGCTCTCCATCTCTCTCTATCTTCTGCCTCTTCCACTGCTGCCCCCACTTTTCTGACGTCCTTGGAGACACCATCCCACCATCTCTTCTTGGGCCATCCTATTGGTCGTTTCCCTTCTGGCTTTCCTATGCTTGCTTCTTTTAATAGTGAACCCCGTTCTCTCCGTAGTGCGTGTCCTGCCCACCTTATTCTCCTTGCTTTCACGTGTGCTACAACATCATAATCATTATACATATTCCTTATCTCTCAATTATGCCTTTTTCTCCATTTCCTTGTTTTGGGCCATATATCTCGAGGGTTAACATAGAATGATAAAACTTTAAAATTTAAGTTTCTTTTACACATTTAAATTCATGACGAGTAGCTCAATATCAATTATCACTACTGTTCTTAAATGTTAAAGCAAGTTCAATACTCTTTGTTTGAAGTACATTTATGGTGATTGAGGGATTATTGCTTACATTTTCCATTATGATCAGTACATAAAACAAACCCAGCTAAAGCTGGAAAATCACATAGGATAGCCACACAAGAACTTTAGAAGTAGTCTGAACAATATGCAAAAAGAAAACAAAAAACAAAATGAAACGTGAGCTTGTCTAGCTTGAGCCACCGTTTTGTTCCTTCCCACTTTAGTGTTCCTAACCTGTGTATTGTTTCAGGTGTCTCTCAACAGTTCCTCTTCCTACATCTTCATACTCTCTGTCTCTTCTAAGTCTTGATCTCCTTCCCTCTTTCACCTTCAACTCTTATTTTCCTAAGAACTATCTTACCTTGCATTCTTCTCACTTGTCCAAACCATAATTTTCTACCGTATCTCCTAAGCTGTCAACTTTTCTTATGTGATCTCTATTCCTGATTCTATCCTGAAATTATACTTTATATTACAAGTAATTTCTGAGCAAAGCTTGTGCACCAGCCTACTGTATTTTCTGTGTTTTGCAGGTCTGTTATCTCAATTGTGTCAAGATACTACTGAAGCATGGAGCCAACCCCAACTGTACGTCTCGTAGCAATCTCACTCCATTACATGTCCTGCTGTTTTCAGCCAGCGAAACCATGGCTTTAGGTAATAACTGCTTCAGTGCTTCTTTATCATTTTAAAGCATAGTTTCAGTTCAACATGACTCAGTAATTTCTGTCCTCCAACCTTTTAAATGTAGTACTACCAAACATTAGTTTGCAAGAGTTCCGCCATACAGGTATATTATAAAAAATAGTATAAAGTTTGTAAGTGGCTGTATTAAGAATCTAATGTATAATAATATGATAATATTATGATGGCATTAAAGTCCATCCATCAAATTATTATACCGGTACTTTTTTCACACTAAGGTAATTTTTGTAACCAAACTAAATACATTGAAGGCTTTTTTGACAAATGATATCAAATTATTCAATGGTTAATATAGTTAACAGATTGCATTTTCCCCCCTACAAAAATGAAAATTTCATGATTGGGAAGGGAACAGTCTGAGGAAAGAAATGTCCATTTATTCAACTTAAAATTAAATATGTATAATAAGGTTGAAGATAGAGCACAAAGACCTGTGTTGTGAAATGATGTTGACAAAATATTGTGTTAGGACGAGACGCCGACCAGAACATGGAGTTTATCCGAAGCCTATTGGTGATGCTGCTGCAGCACGGACTGGACACAAACATCCGCATCTCACAACGAACCCATCACATACTAGAGGCACTGCTAGACATGGTGCAGTCGTCACGTCAGCCCACGGAGCTGCATCACGTGTATAACCTCACACTCACCTTCCTACAGTACGGGGCCAATCCGGACCAGGCGGTGCCGATACAGGTGGGGAAATACGAGACTTCCCCCGCGGCATCTGCCTTCTACCGAGCGTCTGGCACCAACCATCCGGTGCTGTTCCACTACGTCATGATGGTGGCTCAGAAACAGGTAAGCGTATTGAACTAGACATTTCACCCTAATGTGAAAGTTGTAGCTGAATGGAGCTGACAGAATGTGCTGGTTTTAATTTCAGAAAAATATATTTCTAATCTTTGGGCAAGATTACATTAATTTCTGTGTGTTCACTGTTTTCTCGTTCTGTTCCAACCGTCAGCAATTGTGCTGTGATTACAAATTACGATGCTGATCTCGTTTAGCCAGGAAAAATCCAGTCCCGAATATTAGGAAGGATATAAAACTCACTTACTGACTTAAAAGATTAATCCTGTTAAAGTCATAATTTTCCCTAAGTTGTTGGGCTTTTCTTTGCATCCACTGGTCGAATGTGTCCATTCTTAGTTCTTATCAACTGTATTGTATTTTAATAAGGTAGCCCTTAAGTCCTTAGATATGAATCCTTTTCCAATATCTAAGCTAAATGTATTACTTGTCAGTATTATGTATTATGTTGTACAGGAGTACATGAATGACTCAGAGTTGAGGTTCGCCTCTCTCATCTACCTTTACTACCTGAGCATGAGTCATCGCCAAGTATACTCCACGCTGGGTTCACTGCTGCGGGCGCAAGAGGCTGGTGTTATACCCGTGCGTGCGACTGCGCTCTTCACCCTTATCAAGGACCTGCACTCGCGTCCACGCACGCTCAAACAGATCTCACGCCTGGTGATTTACCGTAGCATGGATCGAAAGCCCGGCTTGTTAGTCAGTAAACTACCGCTGCCCAACTCTCTCAAAGATTATATTCTCAACTTTGACCCGTAAACGTCAAGATACGTTCGATGTAACGTAAACGCTTTGTACATCAGCTTTCTAAGTTACCTGATTTTTTATGGCTACCGTCCGCTGAATATCGGTGGATCGGTGATGTATATATAGATAGATGTGGACACTGGTGAACAATGGCTCTCAAAAATACCGATTGTTGCAACAAACATGGACATTTATTTCTAAATTTTCAATTCAATTAAATTCATGAGACAGCAATGGACACTTTGGTACACATTTTAAGCTGTATATTATGAAGGATCAGTGTAGAATAGAGTGAGATGATCTGTGTAGCTTTGTTACTGACAAAGACAAGCTGTTTCTTATCCATGACCATTAATTTAAAGTCCAAAGATTAAGGACAGCTATATCCAGTTTTGAACCAACAAAGCTACTTACATTTCTGAGGATCGAACCGGCAACTTTTGGATTACCAGGCGACTATTTTAACCACACAGTTACCCTGCAACTCATAAATGACGTTTTTGTTGTTGGAAAACCGTAGATAGTTATGTTTTAGGGTGAATATAGCCTATTTATACCTGCCGACAGGCTAAAACAACAGTTTGAATTTAAAATATGACGAAATATATCAAGGAAACATAGTATCTAGTTTGGTCCTCTGAGATTATCATGCTAGTCTGATTTCTAAATAGAAAAGTCAGTTGAACACTACAACTTAAACATTTCACAATCAACACATCACATACTATGGACTTAAACTGGACCTGTTTATAGTAGGTGGGTCAGTTATTGTTATTTACCTGAAGCAATGATTATGAGAGTGGTGTGTCTGGAGAGCCTACTGTTCACTAGTTCCTTACTGGAAACTCTCTTTGTTTGGAAAATTGAATTTAATATGTTGTTACTGGCTGTGAAAATGTTTTTAGGTAATTCAATTATATTACTGTCCATGTCGGAATAATCGGTCTGTCTTTCGTAGGGAGTTATCTGCCGTGCCTATATGATACAAGTTGTTATCTTGCGCAAAGAGTGTTGTGTGTCAAATATTTTTTAACATTGTTCGTAAAGTGTTTGAAAACTTGTTGTGATGTTGGGTCTCGAAATGCAAAAAGTAGTCGAGTGTAAACAGCCCGAGGCTGTATGGTTAATGTTCTGTTGTTTTTATACATATATTTTACGTAATGTTATAGCACTGTAATGGCCTATAGTAGGTATACACCCTGATTAACTGTTAATTTACTTTAGGATTGTCATCTGTGTTAGATAATGTGGTTATAGTACTAGACTATTTATGTTCAAATTAATTGTGATAGAAATTGTGAAAGTTATGGTTGTAAATTTAGTTGCTGTTGATCATATCTGAAACACATGATTCTCTGTAATGGAAAATTAGTATGTTTTTAATTTATGAAATAATTTGAAATGACCAGCCTAAGTAGATCAATATTATAAACTATAACGCTCATTAGATCTATCTGGTCAATACTAGACAAATTGTAGGTAGGTACATAAGTAAGTGCTTGGGATTTATTTTAAATGCGTTGGTTGGAATTTGTTTACTGTCCTTTGTAAACTCATAAAAATGTACATAGGGTACCACAAAAAAAGAGTGAAAAAGCAGAGAAGAGATAATAAAGTGTCAACTCCTGTATAAAATGTTTACCTGGTAGTTTTAATAAATACAATTCCAATCATGTATGCAGTTATTTCACTATGAAGGAAGACTAGAACTAATTTCAGTCCTCAGGTGTAATATTACATTTTATGTTTTGTTACAAACACCGATGCATCTTTTTCACCTAATTTTCACCATGTCTACTAACTCAATGAATGCTGTACCTATATTGCTACTTGATCAGCAGACGACAAATCGAGCAGTCTGTTTACATAGGCCTATTACTAATGATGTCAATTATATTTTCACTGGACTACTTTTTGCATATAGATTAGCTATGTAATATATGAATGTGTGAATAAATCTTAAAACTGTTGTTCATGTTAAAGTTGATATTAATAATAAAGCAGTGCCATTCTTATTGTTTGCTTTTACTGTACCTTATTGTAAAAACTGCGGCATAACAGAAAAAAATAAGGCTTTGATGGTCACAACTAACAGTGATGACTGCTCTGACAATGGTCATCTTGAGAGGATTAACTAGGATTTACTTTAGCCACAATAGCACAGGTTATTGGCATATCTGGCGCTTTGTTATTCCACATCAAGCTGTTGTGGTGGGATTTTGTCATTGACCTGGTATCTGAAGTAGACATCCCTACTGTAGACACTAGCCAGATTAAGTTCCTAGAACATAGTAGAATAGAACCGGCTTTGGACAGAGCCGGACCCAGAGCAAACAATCAGAGCAGTACTTAACTAAAAAAGTTGTACCAGAACAATAATCTCAATGAATAATACAGGGTGGGGCAGGGAAGTATCCCTAATTTTAAAGGTAAATTAAAAGACAACCAAAAATGTTAGAGCTAAACTTTTTATTGAGATTAAAAAAGTTTTATCTGGGAGTTTATTTTAATATAACTTTACTTGGTTTTAAACATCATATCCTGCAAGTGGTGTCCCTAATCTTAAATGCATTACTGTATTCTGGTTCTGGAGTTCATAATAACTTTGTGAACCATGTGTTGTGGAAAGAGGCAACATTCAAGGTGAATTGCATCCTTCAAGGCATCTAGGGTCTTCCCTTGAACTACCCTAGGCTTAGCATCACTCCAATAGAGCACATTCTGCTTATTTACCCGCTCCAGGAATATGGAAGTGTGCCTCGTCACTAAACAAACCCCGAGCAGCATGAGGTAGTCCCGCAATTAAAGATTTCATATGCCTGCATTCGTTGTTGCCAGTCCCTTTGTGTGAATTCATGAGCAACTACCCTCTTGTATAGATGGAGGTGTAGGTCCTCATGGAGAATACGAGGCACAGTACGATTAGACAATGCCAGCGCGAATGCATGCTTACAAGGAGAACTATGAGGAGACTGCAAAATCGATCTTCTGACAAGGTCAATGTTTTCAGGACTCCGGACCGTTTTTTGAGCTCCAAATATCCTTCGCAATACACCACCACATACACGAAAGTAATTCACCCACACCAAATTGTAACAGCTTTGCAACAGGCCACCCGACAACCCGACAGCCAATGGTAGCTGCACAGCAACAATAGACAGATTTTTGAAAAAATACATCTCGAGTGCAAAAGCACATTGGTCACTCGAACAAGCCATATCTACTACTGATAGTGATATTTTTAGAAATTCCCAAAACAAAAGCTTCACTCACAGTACCATCTTAAAAGTAGGGATATTTCCCTGCCCCACCCTATATTAGTATTTATACTCCCACTTTTATTTCTTTTTTATATCTGGCTTAACTTATGTAATGTAAAATACACAGGCATTTAAACATTTTGTTGTATTTTGCACCAAGCTTGCATGAGGTTTTGCACTTGTTTAACTCCGGCTGATTAGAATAAGCCCATTACAGAGTGTATAGCTACTGAAGTGTTATTTTCTCATAGTTTTTCCTACAGTGATATTTTGTGGAGACATGAAATTCTGTAGTCGGCATGAAGTTGTCCTTTCAGTGTGGCATGATAAATGCTTCAACAGCATAATCTGTCGATCGCTAACTTGAACTAAGTGGTACAATTCAACCGTTTCTGATACAAAATTCCCATTGGTCGACCCAGCTGGATGGCCGGTACTAGCCAATGAGTAAGCAATCGAACACTCATGTCACCAACACTGGTATAAATTATATTTCTTACAAAACATGTTTTTTGTCATTTCTGCTGAGTGGTGGTGATATCTAGTGAGCGAAGTACTTCATGTTACCATGAAGTACTGCATGTTTCCATGAAATACTATTAAACCAAAATAATTCAGAGTGAGTTTAGAGGCTGCCATGTTGACTACCAAGCTGTTATCAAGTATTTAAGTGAGCCCCAGAGACAGAAGTTGCATCAACTAAGCGCTGTTTAAATAAATGATTTGACTTGACCAACCGAGCAAAAAATATTGCCATGGGAATGGAATTTCTTGTGTTGACTGGATTCTATACTAAGTTCTCTTATAACTTAAATAATGGAGTCCAACCTGATTTTATTAATAGAAAATATTAAAAATTGTTTAAAGAATTTGTAAAAATTGTTAAAGAACTGTAAAAATTGTGACGTTTATTAGTTTACAAAGCTCCTCAAAATTTCCTTTTGTTATCTTTTTCTGAAGGGTTGGATTTTCAGACCTAACAAAATGCTATTTTACTAAGTACCACTGCTCTTGGATTATATTATGAAGGTAGGTAGTCTATTATTATCATTGACACTATATTGTACCACATGTAGAAATCAAATCTATGGTGTCTATAATATCTGGTGAACCTACAGATTAGATATACACGGAATAGAAACAACAAAAAACATTGCACAACACTAAACCATAATTTTTATTAACAAAATGACTCATGACTAATGCATGTTTACAGTATCTAAAAAGCTATAAATTACTTCTTTGTTTCAACATCAGGATTATCTTGGCTAGGAGCTGTCTTTTCACTCTTTTCACTTGTTGAATCGTCAACGACTGCCTTGTCAGAGTGATCTTCAGTTACGCTGTCATTTTTACCAACAGTAGTTGAATTTTCTTCATTGCTGGACTCGGCAGACAACTGTTCTGCCATTTCTGCATACTTCTCTGCTCTGTACTCTTTTTTCGCTTCATCCAACAACACGTTGTGAAGAAGACTTCTGTTATTTGACAGATCTGTTGTTAATGGAGGAAACGGGTTACCTAGAAGAATAAAAATATTTATACAGCAACTTCAAATATCTTAAGGCTGTGATTTTTGCATTTAATATCCATGAATAACAGGATTAGCATGATTGATTCAATGTAATTAATGGATTTGATTGAAAAATCAGACTGTTGAACAATACAGCAGTGGCGGCTAGCCCATAAGGACTCTCGGACGACGCCCTCCCAACAATTTATGTATTGTTGTACATTTTAATATTATTCAGTTAAATTTAATTAAAACTACTTTAATGAGTACTTTAAACAACATGCAACATAAATATATCAAATAATTGGATAATTAAATTCAGTAAAGACTAATTTTTGATCGTCGCTTGATTAGTAAGGACGGCAGCCAGACCGCCCCAATCCCAATACATGTAGTCTTATGGCAGAACAACCGAACAGCGCTGAGGGTGCCATGACGTTATTCCAATGCTTTCAGCCGCTACTGCAATACTAATAAGTAGTACATTTCAGTTATGCACAACCTATTAACAGTGGTAATTAGGTTAGTTTATTCGAGTAAAGTACTTCAAAGCCTGACTACCTCCTACAGCTTCGCGTCTACTATCAATACAAGTTTTACAAGGTTAAGTAATCGATAAGACTAGTATACCTGTGTCTTACAGTGATTTTTGGATTTTAAGGCACAAGGGTTGTTCATAAATAGCCGAATATAATTCTGTGAATTAAGGGGTCAATCCCTGTTAAAATCTATCGTCAGTTGACATATGTCATCATCATCACCATCATTTATTGATTTTTCCCTCAAGGGGTACATAAAAAAAATACATTTCCAAAATCAATTTGCATGAAAAAAAAAACAAAGGTTGGTACATTAGTTTAGTAGTTTAGTGGTACATTAGTTTAGTGGTAGTAGTTTAGTTTAGTAGTAAATAAATAATTATATAAATATTAACATGCAATAAATAATTCAATAAATCTATATAAATAAAATTACAGTTTTGTCTGTATATTGCTTAGAATCATGCAGTTTTTGGTTATTTTAACGTTTCATAGCCTAAGAAAGCCGAAACGAGTCTTATCTCAATTTTTGTCTGTATGTCTGTCTGTCCATTCTGTGACTCCGTCTGTAACGCCAAAATGCCATTTTACGCGGCCTACTCCTAGAAAACTAGAGTACCGATCAAGTTTCTAATCATTTTTCTGTATATTTACTGAATTGGTGAGAGTGTCTTTGGCTATAAAAACATGGCCTCGCTTCTTTGAAAACAAAATAACAAACCACCAAAAACCCAATTTTGTTCGATTTTTGTCAAATTTTCTCCCAATGTTTACTATTACATTTTATGAAATAACGATCAGCTGTTTGGATTAGTTCTCACTTCTAGCTCTCACTGACTGATATGTTTACATTCAAAGTTGTTTACAAATACCGCAACCATTTCCGATCAAGTTTTGTCAACACATCCAAACCAAGTGAGATTAAAAACGTTGTGCCTTCCTTTACAGGTTTAATTAATCGCAAATGCAACGATTGTTCTTGAGTTTTGATAACCGGGGAAAATACCGTGAAGCAGTGTTGTATTAGTGCAAGGAAACTTACATTTTTTTTTAATCATCATCACCAATAGCTTACAAAAAAGGTTTCCACTCATTGACGGCGCCTTAAGGACAGTTGTGTTAAGTGCAAAGTAAAAAATCACAACTGCAGTGGGTGATCGTGGATGTTGCTGCGATCTTGGAAGATCTTTCTGATTTTGCTGTGATCGTACCGTAACAGAGGTTTAACTTAACAGATGTAGCTAAACTCGCTTATCCAATGTGTCACTTTTGGTTTCTACTTACTTACATTTCGACAACGATATCGGTACTTTTCCTACTTAGGAAATAAAACTACAAACGTACAAAACACCAGATTTGTGCGTTTTTGTCACATTTCCTCCAAATGTTTGCTAGATATATGTACCGATTATCGTTTAGAGATTACGTAATCTTTTAAATAAGAAACCTTTGTTTGGATAAAGGTGGTTTCTTCAAACTGTCATTAATATGTTAACATCTTTTCTTAAATGTAAACGTTGGTTTTTGATACTGCTACTTTTCTTTAGAACCGGTGGTAGCAGTAAGAATCATTTTTACATACAAACACATCACTATTTTCAATATTTATTTATAAACACTGCACCTTATTGCTTATTAAATTTAATTGATGTCTTACTGTATACATTTTAGCGTTTTCTGTCTGGACTCCAAAATGTTGTGTGGACTCAATTCTGTATTTGTGTGTGTATGTCTATTGGTAACGCATTAATGTCCTTATTTTTCGTGGAAAAGACAAGAGAACCATTGTTAATAAAAATTTCAACCCGAATAAAGTGTGCAGTAGTGAGGTTGAGGTAGTGTTTTAACTACTAACCAGTGTGAAAAGCAACTTTCAATTACAGGCCTACCTTAGGGCTATGCCTCATAGATCTATACTGTAAAGCAATTCCTTTTATCGTTAGATATAAAATATGGACTAACACGATCGGATGACATTTAATTGCGAAGCATTCGTTTTGGCTTTGAAACTGTCAGATATTGTATTTGAAAAGGTTTATATGTATTCCTAAACAATTATAGTTTTGCCATCATATCTGGAAAAATGCACACTAAATATGCAAACCAACTCCTGTTCTGAATATAAGGTTTTAACTTACTACAAGATTCCCGTACGTAGAACGGGCAAACAGCTAGTAACCAATAAATATCTAATAAATAAATACTGTATGAACATACAATACCAGTAGAAGAACAATACCATAAATATTTACACTGATAGCTGAGCCAACATTCAAAATTAGTTATATTCAAAAACGCATTAAAAGAAAGAGATCCGCATTGATTTTTTTCAAAAAAATGTCTGGTTGACATATGTAATCAAGTGTATTAACATAGCCTAATAACTTTCGAAAGTGAGGGAGTTAGAAGAAGGCTGTACACATTTGAACGTCAAGTTGTCCATCAATTTTGAACCAGATAGTGACAAAATTTTGGCTTGTGGTTGCAGATCAGCGGGTCAATATGAAAGGGGTCATCAAATCGATAGGGAATGTCTATAAAATTACTGTGGACAACAATAAATCATGGGTTTCTTCAACACGCCTAATCAAGAGCAAAACTTGTTTAAAAGTTAATTTATATGAGAATTATTGTGCCTACAAACACATCAAGCACATACATAAAACAATTCAAACAAATTGTTATTGGCTCCTGGGGACCCTAAAACTAAAAAGTTCAGTAGCCCAGTTACAGTAATAGTTAACTAAAGGGAAATTCACTGAACCTTCTAATCATATGTATGGTTTACACTTTTTACGCTTAAATAATTGTTGCTAACCTTTAAGTTCCAAAACAGATTTAGGGAAACCACCTTCTGGGTAAAATCCTGAAACTTTAAACATTCTTGTGTAAGCTATGTTGTAGTTTTCATAGCGTGGAGCCAGCACTTTGAATAGTTTGTGAACTACTCTCTTGTCTTCTATCCAATAGTCTGCTAACTCCATTGTCGGCTTGTGGGTGTCACCATGTCTGATAGCTTCAGAAATCAACTGCAACAATTGTACAGGTTCTAGTTTGTTCATTAACATGCAATTCTTAGAAATAAAATTTAAAAATCTGCCTTCTGGGAGAATAACCATAGAAGATAGGGACTACTGAAATTGGATAACTTACTTATATGATCGTTATAACAAGCTAGTTGGCAAATAAATACACTTTAGGAAATAAACCCTTGCTTAGTAATAAATACACCCGCCACAGCAAACCTGCAGACTAAGCGAATTTCCATTTACCTGGCTGGACTTCTAGTAAAATATTTCCTAAAAATTGTCATATTTATTTTCTACTAGTTGGCCCGACAGACGTCGTCCTGTCCTAATGTGGTTTTATGTCAAATGCTTGCTCAATTTCAAGATGAGCTTGTTCGCAAGGCCAGTGGCGTAACAGTATTTCCCCGGGCCCCCCCGCAAATATGTCTGTGGGCCCCCTACTACCCCTCCCATTCCCCACCACAGCACTATATACCACAACCATCACCACACCACAACTATCACATGACGTAGGTGACGGCAGGCAATAGGCATACGGCCTACACGATCAGACTGGCAGAGGATGGTCTCTAGCAATATCAAGTATTTACCTATTCTTCAACCACACGACCAGAGTCGTCCTTGAAACATATTTTATATTTTGTCACTGTCACAGTGATAATAAACTTGGGAGTTATGTCCGTGATTAATATATATGGGCTACTCCATTACTCCACCATTCACATTCATTACTAAACTCAACCAAGCTTCCAACTATAATTTGAGTCGGGACCACGAAAGTTTGCAGTTGAGGGAGTAGCATATTTACCATTTGACTTCAAATGAGCCAATGAGGGCAGTGCGGTGTTGCCAAATCGAATAATACCAGCTGTTTTAAAAATATTGTTTAGTATTTTAATTAGTGTCGTCAAAGGGTGATATGGCAACGTCGCACTAGTCTTGTCATGGCTGCCGCCAACTGCAAACTTTCGTGGTCCCAACTGTAACTGTTAGTGCTTCACTAAATTAGCCCAATTTAATGACATGCCACCTGATTGAGAAACTCTCGCGACATGCACTACTGACGAGTCACTCGCAATCCGCATGGAATGGATCTCCAAAATCAGGTGATCTACGGTCAGCTGAGTACACGTGAGCTTTTAGTGGGGGAGGGGGGAGCGCCGAGGGGCTGGCTCCGAGTGTGTGTCGCCACGGCGCGGCGGCAGGCCGGCAGGCAGGCACACAGCTCCTAGCGCTAGCATGAAGCTACACAACCACACTGACAATACACATCGTCGGGTGATCGTAGTGAGCGTTGGCGTTTCGTTAACAATATTGTTAATTAAAAGATAAAACTTTAGTAGATTTGGCAGAATAAAAGTATCTACCAACACATCGTTTTTTTATTTATAATTTGTCAGGAGAGAAAAACATTTGTGAACAAAGGATCGGTTTTACGGACGGTTTTATGAGAAAAGGGTATCTTAACCTCGCGGGCCCCTAAACCTCGCGGGCCCCTAAACCTCGCGGGCCCCCCCGCACCGCGGGGTCTGCGGGGGCGGCTGTTACGCCACTGCGCAAGGCTCAATCACGTCCTGGTTGAAGTTTGTTCGCTACGCTCACTAACCTTTTGGTTGCAAATTAGCTCTTGTTATAAATTTAAAAAAATAATAGTGCTGCACCCTGTCGGTAAACCTATTAACTTTTTTAATGCTATCGAACATCACAGAATGAAATTGTTTAGTTGAACCAGATGTTAAGATTTTTTAATTCCATTTAAATATGAGTACTCATAAGGTTAACATGGGAAACTTCAGAGCCACTGGGGCGGAGCCCTTTTGACGGATCTGCACCAAACTTCACACAAACCATCCTTGAATAATACCTGAAAGTTTCATTACAATCTGTCGAGCGGTTTCGGAGTCCGACAAACAAACAAACATAGGCCTACATTGCTATAGGATATAGTATATGGTCCTATAGATTAAAATAACATTAATGTTAGTGAGTACTTAGGTTTGCTGCTACAGAGAACATATTGAGGTGTGTTTTTTTTATTGCAAAGTTTTTATCATCTTAAGTTATGTCTTATGTCCTATGACAAAAAAAGTAAAACTCTTGATAGGCTAGTGGCTAGCCTATCTGACTCCATTGTAGTACTGAACTAGCTGTGTGCCCGTTCTACGCACGGGTATCTTATAGTAGTCAGTTGAAACCTTCTTATATTAAGATTAAGAACAGCAGTTAGTTTTTCATATTTGCAGATATGCTGGCAAAACTATTATATATAAACCTTCGCAAAAACAGTATCTGACAGTTCAAGCCAAAATAAATGCTTCGCAATTAAATGTCACCCGGATCGTTATGGTCCATATGTCCAACGATTAAACTAAAAAATGTTTTATAGATCCATGAAGCGTAGCCCTAAAGTAGGCCTATAATTGAAAGTTACTTTCCACATCGGTTAACTTAAACGTATTTAAAGTACTACCTCAACCTCACCATTTAACACTTTATTCCGGTTGACATTTTCAGTATCAAAGGTGCTCTTGTCCATTCCGTGAAACACTGAGAAATAAGGACATTAATGCGTTACCAACAGACATACACACAACAATCCAAAAAAGGCCACGAACTATTGATACATAAACAATATAAAGGCGTAAACAATTCATGATGGTTTGCCCAACAAATGTTTTACTCAAATAGGTTATCATTTTCTTAGCATACCGGGTAAGCTAAGATTTGGAATCCAGACAGAAAAAGCAAAACTTATAGCCTACAGAGTTAAGACATCACTTAAATTGAATACGGACAGCTCTAATAAATAAGGTGCAACACCAACGATAACTAATTTGTAAACTACAGTGATGTGTTGGTACTTACGTAAAAATGATTCTAGCAGCTACCAACGGTTCTAAGGAAAAGAACCAGTACCTACGTTTAAGAACCTACCTAAGAACTATAGTACATCCAACCAATTAAATACATTAATATCTAGTCCCGAGGTTATTGATCTCTTGCTTTTGGATTTTCTCGTAAAAAGTTATAGCGTAAACTTATCGGTGTCAGTTTGAAAAAAAAAATAACCTTACCCAAACAACTTTTTGTTATTTAATAGATTACGCATTCTCTAAACAATGATTAGTATATCTATTAACATTAGAAGGAAATGTGACAAAAATCACACAATGTTGGGGTTTTGGTCATTTGTAATTATATTTCTTAACTATGGAAAAGTACCAGTATCAAGGATCGTCGTCAAAAAGGTTGTTATGAATAAATATGTAGGCTTACGTACCCAAGATATGAGCTATGGGCCTATTGGCTGTATGGTCCAGCGATTGCATCACACGGTGAGTAGAAACAGAAAGTGACACATTGGAAAAGCGAGTTTAGCACTTCCTCTGTTAAACCTCTGTTACAATCACCCACTGCACTTGTGATTTTTTACTTTACACTTTACACAACCGCCATTGAAGCGCCGTCAATGAGTGGAAACCTTTTTTGTAAGCTATTGGCGACGATCATTTCAGTGTCCAGCCCTATACAACACTGATTCAAGGTATTCTTTCTGGTTGTCAAAACTCAAGAAACATTTTATACTCAGAGAATTTCTGGTTCCGATTTGGACGATGTCTAGTTATTTAATTTCATTTACGGTTACACTATTAGACTATATTATTGCACTTGCGATTAATTAAATCCGTTATGTAAGAAAAACTTGTTTATTCTCACTTGGTTGGGATTTGCTTTCAAAACGTGATTCGAAAAAACACCTGTCCGCAGACAAGAACTCCATACACATAACACAAGACACAAAGCAAACATAGATCTACCCCAACATAGACTCTCTAAATTCAGCAATACACCACAATACACTGGCTCAAAATTCTACAACTTGCTACCACAACAATTTAAACATCTACACAACAATAAAACATTTGTCCAACACTTAAAAAAATACCTCACCAATAGACCATATTACAACATAAACGAGTACATAGAGGAACATTCTTACACACACATACGCCAGCTCACTTCGTGAATAGGATATACAGAAAAATCCCGTCCAGACGGAAGAACTATGACGATTCCCCGATCTACGGATTGTGGTGAAGACATCGAAGGTAAAAAAAAGGTAAAAAGAAATGGTTGCGGTATTTGTAAACAAACATATCATTGACAGCTAGAAAAAATAATCTTGATCCGAACAGCTGTTCGTTATTTCATAGACGATTATGTGATAAAAATAGAACGAAAATTTGACCAAAATCGCACAAAACTGCATTTTTGAACGTCCATAATTTTATTTACAAAGTAGTGAGGCTATATTTAAATCACTAAAGACACTCTCGCCAATCCAGTGAATACATTAAAATGACTTGGATCTTGATAGGTACTCTGGTTTTCACGGAGAAGATTGCGTAAAGTGCCATCTTGAGTGTTACAGACAAAGGGAAAGACAGACAGACAGAAATAGAGATAAGACTCGTTTCTGCTTCTTTAATGTATAAAACGTAAAAATAACCTAAAAGTATATAATTCTGAGCAAAGTACAGACAAAACTCTAATTTTATTTATATAGATCATCAGTATTTTCAATCAAATCTATGATTACGTTTAGGGCCTACACTACTTTCTATATTCATCATAGAATGTCTTCATTCATAGAGTATTTAATGTAGGCCTAAACAAAGTAACACAAAATATGTGGAGTCATATAATTTAATATAGCCTACGCTACCAAAGATCTGCAAAATCCTTACCCGTTCTGCATATCCTCTAGCTTCATCTGCCTTAGTGTATTTCAGCTCTATCCTTTCATACTTAAATAACCCAGTTAAAATCTTCCTTAAAATTTCATGTCTTCCTTCTGGTCCTTTGATATTCTTTAACCTTCTGTATCCAGGGCTTATGTTAATTTTTAACTGGGACACAAGCTTTGAAACATCTGCCTGAGGCATAGCTAGTCCTATCTCTGAAAATTTTAAAGATAATCAATATAAATATGACACTTTTAGACTAAAACAAAGGTGTGAAAATAATTTCACTAAAGACTACCCTAGTTCCAATATTTTGTTTAAACATTAAGACGACATCACATAACCTAAAACGGGTTAACGGTTAACTAACATAACCTAAAAAAAAAAAAAACACAGAAAGAAAGAGAGAAGGAAAGAAGTCAGCTGTTAGCACTTTTTTGTTTTAACATCCTATTGCCACAGCGAGCGTTTCAGGGCAGGAATTGGACTAGCCTACTGCGCATGCGCAAACCGTAAAATTGAGCTGATTTTAAATGAACGACTCTCACACAATTTAAGCAAAAGAGTTGTTTACTGTTCTGTCGTTCTGTCATCTCATCTGTCTGCCGGCTGCCCCTGCCGTGCCCCATAGCGATTGTAGTTTTCAAAGTCTTAAAGTGTTTAAGCTGTGTTTTTTTTTTAATAATTTGAGGTTTTATCGAAGTATCGTATGTTTTGAAGTCGGATTTAAAAGTATAAAAGAGTGTTTATTGTTATGCGTTCTACCGTGCCAGCCCCGTGCACCCTTGTAAGTTAGTTTTTATACTGTAGACTTTAAAAGTGTTTGTTGTGTTTTGTTCCAAGTGTTGTCCAAATAAAACAATGGGTACAGTTTCTTAACTGGGCTACACTAATATCGATTGAAACTATCGATTCGATTAGTAAACTGCGATTTTTTCACCATCAACAAGTTTGGTTGGTTAGGTTAGGTTATGATAGATTAATTTTATAATAGATATTATATTTTAAAATATCGATTATTAATCAATATTTCAATTCGATAGTTCCAATCGATATTAGCGTAGCCCAGTTAAGAAACTGTACCCCTGTAGCGGTCACACAGTTAGGACATGGTTAGGACTACCGACATTTCCCATAAACATTGCAAAAGGACGAATCTTATAATTATATAAGAACTGTCTAGGCTGTGTGGTTAAAGGCACTTACAAAATAAGTTACCAAGCGGTGTAACTTTCATATTAGAAACCGTTGGGTGAGATGTTTAAAGGCTAAGTTTAATCTTAAGGTTGACACATTTAAACCTATAGCCTGTAAACCATTAAGTTAACTGTTTGGAAAAAAGTCTATGCCGTAGACTAAATATGGTCCTTAAGCCAATTAAATGTGTAGGCTAACTAACTAACATTAAAATAACTTAGGCCTTGGCTAGGCTTTGCATTACCCTGGCGTAGGGCAAGGCTAGGTTCCGCTATCAATAGACAGGCCTAGGGTGTACACTATAGTACCCTAGTAGGTTACTATATTATATTGGATCTCCCATTCTTTGGCAGACTTTAAATTCCGTTAAATAACAGAAAAGGCATGGGGAATGGCTGTTTAACGGACAGAAAAATAAAATTTCGATATTCGAAAAGAAATTTTCTATAATAATGAATGTTCCCTTTAACAGGAAAGTACCCATTCTTTACATTATACTTATTTATTTATTTATTCATATCAACGGATACACCATTTACAAAATAGGCCTATGTGTTTTAAGCACATGAGCAGAATGAAAAGATAACAAAAAAATAACAAGATAAGTTACATAATGACCATGAAACAAAGCAGCATTGCAACAAAAATAATAACAAGAAAACAACAATGTGACAAAAATTACAGATAATAACATTAACAAAGTATTGTACAGATAATAACAACAACAACAAAAAAATTATATTAATTTGGACTTCAGAAAAAGCATAGGCCTATAGATTTTGAAAGTAACAACAACAAATATCTCCTCAAGATTTAACAAAATATAAACTATGATGACATTAAGTTCTACGTGAAAAAATAACAACAAACAACAATAAATCTATGAATTGAATAACAAGAATGAAAGAGATTTAGGAAAAACAAACAAACATCATCTACAAAACAGGCATATCAAAGAGAATGTTGGAGCATTTTCTTCTGAAGGAAGACAACTGTTCGTTGAAGAAGTCAACTTGTGATCCGACTTTGTTTCCAAGACGCTGCAATCTGGCCAATCCACAATAATTGAGAGAGTAGTTAGTTGGTAAGTACAAGTGAGCAAATGTATCCGAAGATCGTGTTCCTCTCAGTATAAGGAAATTAATTCCCTCCTGTAGCTCGGTAGAATCGATCTCACTACGGACCAGTTTAAACTAAAAAAGGATGTCGTGCAGCTTTCTTCTGAGATGGAGAGGTTGGACGTTGAAGCGCTCCTGAAGCGCTATACTTAGCCTTTATAAAGGCTACTCATACACACATATAGGCTCTAACTTAACAACTTAGAATGCTGTAACCTTTTGAAAGAGGCATTTCCTCGCGCTGTTGTAATAGTCAGAATATTAAAACATCGTTTGTTTAATTTAAATGGCGGTTTGTTTGAAATTATTTAGAGTAACATGGCCATAAGAAACATGCTATTTGAAACTCCAACGACAGAAAAATATACGTTAAGTTTAAAAACGATTAAATTGTAGGCTAGTTATTTGTAGCGCCCAAAAACCGTTGTGCCGTTACCTACTTTTAGGAACAAACAATCTGCCCTCTACTTAGTGATGTAAAAATCATTATACAGGTTGTTATGGTCATATTATTATAAAGATCAAAATAACTAGGCCTACAATTTTTTCTTCAGTTGGGGTAATTTTGATGAAACAATACATTTACAGTCTTCATTTTATGCTAGAATGTCCTACTATAAACATTGTAGGCTATTAAGAACTGCAGTAAAGTCCTTTAGAGAGCCTGCAATATCAGTACCTTCAATAGGCCTATATATTGGGTGAAATATCAGTTCGTTATACAAATCGTACTTTATATTATTCCCTGCGATATAAATTCTGATTTTTGTTTTGAGTATTAAAGGTATCGTGATATGAATATTTAAAGACATAGAGTCTTTTCAAATAGACTTTCACACTGTGCTGTGGTGGTTAAACAAGGTTAGTTCAGTTTGGTTTAGTTTATGTTAATAAAAACCAGGTAACACATAAATAAATACAAATTGTTCCAATAGCATCATCATTGGGTTGGGTTAGTGTTGTACAGTTTTCTATCAAAACTGATTGTCAAAAGCGCCAAATTATACCTAGTCGTGTCTTTTTTTTATGAGTAACTTAGCTTATAGAAAAAAGCTAAAAATTTTGTTAATGATACCTTGTTTGTTTATAAACTTATAGGCCTACCACTTTCAAAAGAACCTGTGCAGAACCATCGCTGTCTCGCGCACGTTGGGGTGAAGGGTCATGGTGGGTAAGGGCCTGGAGCAGTGGTGGGGATAAGTCGTTGGGGCGAGGTGTCTTTCCCCACCACTCTAACTTTCCGCAGGGCCGGATTTCCCAATAGGCCCAGTAGGCCCGGGCCTATGGGCGCAAGGTCCCAGAGGGCGCACGGCCGAGGGTATTTTTTTTATACTAGGCTATCTAAAAATAAAAAAATAGTCATAGTTGACAAAAAAACTCCAAAGCATTGTGATTCTGAAGTTTATAGGAAGAAATAATGGTTAGGAACTTGAAACTATTTTTCAGAATTACGCATCAATTTTGTTACGAAATTGGTAACGAACACTGGTTGTACGGGAGTAGGCTGTAGGGATGTTGACGTTGACGAGCGCCCAAGGGGTACGCATCGTATTGCCACTGCACTGCCACTATGCTGGCTGGGGCTAGGCACTACTGATTAGGGGTGCATGCGTGCTAGACATGGTTACCACCCTCTCCTCACAAAACAAAAGTTATTAACTAATCTTTTTGATTAGTTTACAACAATCTGCTGGATCAAGTTAAAATACAGCATATAATAAGTTGTGTTGAATATTAGGCCCCTAAAACAACGATGAATTACCATTAAAATTAACAAAAAAATATTAATCTCAGTTTGCATTAGATTTTAGAAAATTTCAATACCCCCCTAAGCACCATTAATTTGCTGTCATTTTCTTCTCAGACCTAAGGATCGATACGGTTGGCCGGAATATTGCTCTGTTTTGTTTTGGAAATATAATCAGGATGCAGTACGACCAATAGATTAAATATAACTCAAGTCGACTTCTTATCACATTGTTAATTCAAAATTTGTTCTGTCTAGTTCACGTTGGTGACACTGGACCTTAGTTTTGACGTAATTTTGTTTCTATTATTTTAGGGTTAGTTCTATAATGTGTGATGTGTGTTTTAATTTCTTGTAATATAAACAGGAGACCACCTATTGTTGATAAGTAGATCGTTTTATTTTGGATAAACTTGGTTTAAAACACAGATAAAACATACTCCTTAAATAACAAGAATTGTTTTCAGCTAATCCAAAATGATGACAAATCTACTAAAGGAGTAGGTTTAATCTATGGTATCACGTACAGTATGGAGTTCATGTTTTTTTTTCGCCTGCAATTGGAATCAATGGCCATGTTTTTTGGAGGAATGCTCGGTGGGTTGAGTTGTTTTGTTTCAGTCCCACGGCCACTGGCCACAAACGTGAGCATTTGTTAAAAGCATAAAATTGCTAAAATTGTTTAAGACGGCATTTTGTTAAGGCTAAACAAGTCAATTCTAAAAAAGAACTTGCAATGATTCCAACGAGGAGTGGTATTCAAGCAATTAACTTATGCCTATGGGTATGATATAGTTTTTAATAAAGGTTTGAAGGAAAGTAACTGTGACCAGACTAGGGGGCGGAAAATTATTTGGGCCTAGGGGCGCAAAAATGCTAAATCCGGCCCTGACTTTCCTGCTGTCCTGCATGCACGACTCAAACAGGTGCGTGGTTTTTTTGTATGTGGTAGGCCTATAACATAACCTAAACGCCGCAATGGTCTGTAAAAGATTGGCGGGTGGTCCTCTTTTTAAAAAGACCCATAGGCTAACGGATTAATAAGCAGGCCTATTTCTTAATGGTTGGTGGTTAATGGTTTATGGTTCTTCATATTTTATATAAATTTGAAGCTATTAATTGTCATTAGGCCTATTAATTTATAGAAACTGAAAATTTGATAGGATAGTATAATACATTAAAGTTTCTCTGCAGAACTTTACCCCATAACATTGCTGTTGCAGTGCAATGTAATTTTCAGAATCAGTCTTCTTCGCTTTGTATTAAGGCTAAGTAAAATTGATATTCCTCGCTGCATATT